CAAAAGGGTTGTCACCGAAGACATTTAACGAACATGTCGTGAGAATGGGCATTACCAAAACCCTTTATTAGTTTTATGCTCTTTGTATTTTGACATTTTGGGCCCAATTTTTCTTGTTTCTGATATTTATAAATCTTGTTTTTATCGTTAGTGTACACTTTATGTTTGCATGATGTTCAACAAGATTTGTCTTTTAATAGACATTATGAGACCATGATGTTAATTCTCATTATGTTAAGTATATAATTGATATTGTGATACATGGAAGGGACTGTGTTGATAAATTGATGCACAACTGCCATAATTCATATTAATTTCATACTTATTAAATAATTTATGATTTAACCAATATAAAGAAGGATTTATCTTGCAGTATGTTATGCACTATTAAAGTTAAGTGAGCCAGGTGGGAGAATGTTATATTTTTATTTATGAATCACATTTATTTTAATAACTTATGAGATTTATTTTTGATAACTTAAGTAATTAATTTTCTTAACTCATAACTTATTTCATAAATTATGACAACTTATGATATTTATTTTTGATAACTTAAGCTATTAATTTTCTTAACTCATAACTTATGTCATAAATTATGACAACTTATGATATTTATTTTTGATAACTTAAGCTATTAATTTTCTTAACTCATAACTTATGTCATAAATTATGACAACTTATGATATTTATTTTGATAACTTAAGTTATTTATTTTCTTAACTCATACCTTATGTTATAACTTATGACAACTTATGATATTTATTTTTGTAATTCATATAACCCCTAAAATAAATAAATGTTACTAACTTATGTCATTGATTTTAATAATAAAAATCAATTATTTATAAAATTATTATAAATCATATTGGTTAGTAACCCCCTTGATGGATGGTGGTTAAATAGAGCATGAATTTGAGAATGGATCCTTTCTCTACCTAACACACCCCGTACATTTCTCTCAATCAGAAAGTACAGAAAGTTTCAAGGGAATAGAGAGAGAAACACTATCTCTTCAAGATCAAATTTGTTCATCATGAATACATGTATGCGTTGAATACATTACATGTATGCGTCACTTTATTTTAGATATGTAAAAATCATGAATTTAAAAGATCTTGGCTATTGTGTACTTTTTTTTTTAAAAATTTATGTCATAAAGTTGAAACATGAATTTTCTAACACGATATTCCTTTTAATCTATAGATTTGTGACTCCAAAATATTAAACATATAAATATTAAATTGTTGACATTAAATATGTAAACACATAAGAAACTAAATAGGCCAAGTCAAATTTTGTAATTACAAGACTCATCTTTTAAATTTATTTATTGCATGATAATAGAATATAAGTATTTTTAACTGAAATGTCACTATAAACATTTGTATTTATTCATATATCACCTAATTTATTTTATAATAACTAATATGCCATTAAATTATTACTATATTCTTATTTATATAATAACTCACATCCTCACGTAATATAAACTAAAAATTTAGAGGACTATAATATTAAAAAAACTCTAGAGTTGGTTTACCTGACATATGTGCTGATGATTGCTAACAATAATAGTTATCCCCCAACAATTATTCTTATATGAACATCATTTCTCGATCGTCATCATTATAAAGTTATCATCGGACCACTCTCATCGACTCAATGTTCATCAACTATCATCACTCGGCTATCGCCACAAAACAACCATATCTTGATTGTTATTATTTATTGATCACATTGATGCACTCTGTTGTCTTTTAATCATCACAACCATTCACTAATTCTCAATAATCCCCCTGTTTAACTATATAATGTTGAGCTTATGTTTTATATATATTTTATAATCTCATCTTCTTTTATATTTGTTATACATTTTTTTTTCTTTTTTCAACCTTAAAACTTTTGGTATATATATAATTTTATAATGTTGAGGTTATGTCATATTAAATTTGTACATTTTTTTTCTTTTTTCAACCTTTGCATGTATGACATTTTCAAAGAAACTTTTGACTTGCATAAAATTTTCTTATTGCTGCTTTCATTTATAATTTGTTTAATTAATTATATTTATCTTAAGTATATACGAGAAAAGCATATTGATTGCCACCCAAAGCTAATTTTATGGATAGCTTTATTTACTATTATTAGGAAAGTTTATTAAGCCATAATAATTGCATTAAGTTGATTCTTGAAATGGCTCGAGTTTAGTTTGATTAGACATTCTCAAGCTAAGCTTCATGAGCTAAAAGGCCTAGCCTAGGACAACACCTCTTAGGCAATCCTAATTATACTCACTAGCCCGTCAGTCAGTTCATTTAAAGAAAAAATCAAAATTAAATATATTAAAAATATATTAAAATTTAATATTTGGATCCCCAATTATTTTATTTCAATATTTTTTTAATATGTTCAAGTTGCTTTTATTAGATTTTAAAGAACATTTATTTTCTGTAATTTATTGAACGATTGAATTTAAATATTATTCAAATTAGGTAATAATTAATTTAATGTAATTAGTTTCTTATCTCATGAACCTCAAACATATGGTTTGGATTCTCTTAACTTTTCAAAGGCCATATGGTTTTGGTATTATTCATTTTGACTATTTCAACCCATTGATTAGTCTTATAAGCATACGTTCATAATTCAAATAAATAATCATCTTACTAATCAACCATGTAGAAAAAAGACTATATTACGAGTATAGGAGAGAGTTTTGGAGAAAATTTACCACCAATGTGCTATAAATAGACATAGAGCAATAGAGCCACAATCATGCCAACTCTAATGGAAAGAGTTCATTTTTCTCTACTCCTAATCTTTACTCTATCTTTCTATTGCTTGAGAACGGAAAGTGAAGGCCGCTTAGCTATTCGCAAGGTGAACCAACGTTGCAATGCTGAGGAAAAAGACGCCCTCTTTGATTTTAAGCAAAGTCTATCTGATCCTCTCCTCCTTCTCTCGAGTTGGGATATAGAAGAGGATTGTTGCATGTGGAAGGGAGTGAGTTGTAGTAATAAAACCAATCATGTCATCAAGCTTGATTTATCTATTTTTTTAAATTTTTTATATGCCACATCTTTACATCCGTCCTTTTTTCTCTTACGACACTTGCAATATTTGTGCTTCGGTAACATTCTCTTCAATCAAACGAGGATCCCTCATTCTATTGGTTCCCTCACTAAACTGAGCTATCTTGATCTCTCCTATTCGGGGTTCGCTGGAGAAATTCCACCTCATATTGGAAACTTGACAAAACTTAGATACCTTGATCTTAGTTATAATTCTCTAGTTGCTTATAACCTCTTATGGATGTCACACCTCTTCTCTTTACAATTTGTTGATATGTCCAATCAAAATTTAACATTCGCTACAAATTGGTTACATGAGATTAGTGTGCTTCCAGCTCTCTCCACTTTGTATTTGTCATCATGTGGCCTACAAACTCTTCCGAATTTACTTCCATATTCAAATTTTTCATCAACCATTGAAATATTTGATCTTAGTTTTAACCATATCAATGGAAGTTTTCCAAACTGGTTGGGACAATGAAAGATTAAATGAATTAGACCTCGATTCAAACTATTTTACAGGACCTATCTCATTTGCCTCTTTAAGCTTTTTATGTGATCTCAAATTTTTGGACCTTAGCAATAATAATTTTACAAAATTAAGTGATGATGGAACTACTTTAAAATGCAAAGAATATAAAATGAGAACAATGGATATCTCCAATAACCAACTGAGCGGAAACATTCCTGAATGGGTTGGAAGTATGAGAAATTTAACATACCTTTTTCTTGGAAATAACCAGTTTGATGGACTTATTCCACAGAGTCTTAGACAACTAACCAACTTGGTTGTTTTGGATCTTGGTTCCAATAATTTGCATGGTAGTTTCTCTGAATCTCATTTTGGAAATCTATCACAATTGATAACCCTAATACTTTCAGATAATCAATTGAATTTTAGCATGATTAGTCCTAATTGGACTCCACCATTTCAAATTCAATATCTTTACCTAAGTTCTTGTCTCGTTGGTCCTCAATTCCCACGATGGCTTCAAAATCAAAAGCACCTTTCCGATTTAGACCTCTCAAATTGTGGTATATCTGATATCATTCCGAGTTGGTTTTGGAATATATCATCTCAAATAAATTACTTGAACATGTCTCAAAATGCAATTAGAGGTGAAATTCCAATGTCATTGAATATTGCAATTGTGGAAACTATCGACTTAAGATCAAATCAATTGGAAGGGCGCCTTCCTCGGCTAGTGAATTTAGTACGTTTTGTATCATTTTCGAACAATAAGTTCTCAAGCGGAATTGAGTTATATCTAAATGGGAACATGAGTTGGTTGGTAGTGCTTGACCTTTCTCAAAATCATCTCTCAGGTGAAATCCCTAAATCAATATGCCAAACGCCTTCAATAGTTCTTCTTGACTTATCGCATAACAATCTCTTGGGAGAAATTCCAAAATGCAATGGTAATGTTTCAAGCTATAAGACGTTACAGTTTATCAGCATGGCATATAACAACTTGAGGGGTTCAATTCCACAATGGATAGGGAAGCTATCATTGTTATTATCATTGAACCTCAACAACAATGTTTTCCACGGGGAGATACCATTTCTCAAAAATTGCAACAAGCTTATTACCCTTGACTTGGGAGAAAATAATCTTACAGGAAGCATACCATTATGGATTGGAGAAAATTTATTATCCCTAAAGATCTTACGCTTACACTCAAATAAATTACATGGATCAATTCCCTGGGAGCTATCCAAACTAAAAGATCTACAAATCTTGGATCTTGCAAAAAATTTTCTTTCAGGCTCAATCCCAAAATCTTTTAAATTTCTCAATTCAATGACTATACAAAATAAGAGACTTGAACCTCTAATTCCTCAAGATGATCAAATAATTCTATATATGGGGCAATACCTTTCGACTTCCATGAATTTTATACCCGATTCAATAATGATCAGTATAAAAGGAATAGTTCGTGAATTCAAAGGTATACTATCTCTTGTGAACATTATAGATCTTTCTTATAATAATCTCACTGGTGAAATTCCCATTGAATTAATGAGCCTTGTTGGATTAATGAGCTTGGATTTATCGAGAAACCAATTCACAGGACAAATACCAAACAAAATTGGTTTAATGCAAAGCTTAGAAACTTTGGATCTCTCAAGGAACCATTTCTTGGGAGATATTCCAGAGAGCATTGTGATGATCAGTGCATTGAGTTATCTCAACTTATCCTACAATCAATTGTCTGGTAGAATCCCGACGGGGACGCAACTTGACACTTTTGAAGAATCAAGTTACTACGGAAATTCAAATCTCTGTGGAAAACCACTAAATAAGACTTGCGAAGGTGATGAACTTAAAGTACATGATGAAGGAGGCGATTCCCAGGATGATGATGATTTTGGTTTGTTCCTCAGTATGGGCCTTGGTTTTGTTGTTGGGCTATGGAGTGTATTGGGGACCTTATTGCTCAAGAAATCATGGGCAATCGCTTACTTTCAGTGGTATGATGATATGACAAATAATATTTATGTATATGTCACCTTGAAAATAAACTGGCATTTTTATCATTAAATTAAATGATATATACATTATTTTTGTATTTTGTAAATTTGTCATTTGAGACTTGCTCCTCAATAGATTGTCTTGTTAGCCGTCTATATTTTTACCAATTTGCTAAGTTGAATTTTATGTGCAAATTTCATGAAGAAATATCTTTAAGCACTTCATATAATTCAAATTTTATGCAAATGTGTTTTATGTTATGATTTTGTTATATATTTTACTGAAAATAAGAATGTTAATAATTGTGATAGCATACACTAACATAGTTTTATGGAGGCTTTCATTATGTTAAATTTGTAATCTATTGAAATAAACTAAAATAGCTTCCATTAATTTAATTTTTCAATTGCTTTTACTACAATTTGAATATTATATATATACACACACACACATTTTATATCGTTATTATTATTATTATTAACAAATAAAAAATCTTTTATATTTATATTTATAACACGTTGATGTCATAAAATTATGCATGAAAATGTGTATTATATTTTCAAAAACTTAGTAATAATAATATTTTTTTATGCTAATGATTTGAGTGGCATGCATGTAAATATCAATTTTTATGAGTTAGATAAGTAAATATAAAATAATTGTGATAATTCATGAAGCAACAAAAGTAATCTTATTTATATATATCTATTTACATTTATACCACCAAAATGTTTAGATGTACTTTAACAGACTCCATGGCCTATGTATATATAT